GTCACACAGTACAGTTCGCAGTGTCAGGCCACTCTCTGCCGCTCTTTCGCTCTGGCTGAAGCGGACAGAGGTGGGACTGTGCGCCTGAGCACAGTGCTTCTCCCAGTACTGCCCCTCGCCCTCAGCACAGCGGCAGCCATTGAACAGCAGCCATTGAAGTTGCTGGCAAGCAGCCTTCTGCAGCCTGCTTCACTGCCGCCGCCGCCGATGGAAGCACCGCTGAGCCAAGCGAATCGAGCTTGGTGCGTCGAAGAAGAAGAAGAAGTAAGAAGAGAAGATCGTGCCACAGTGTGCTGTTCGGACTGCAGAATGAAACTGAACGAAGAGTGGTTAGTTGGTGTTAGTTTTGTCTGAGAGCATGTGTGTGTGAGTGTGCCTCCTTCAACGTTCGACGTACACGGCGTATAAATATTTATACAAGCACACAGCCTGGTAGAACACTGTGGGAGAGTGCAGCACTCTTTCTCATTTGCTGGGTGCACTATCTTGAACCAGAGACAGCAGCAGCAGCACCGCATCGATCGCCTCGGTCTGCCTGAAGCAGTGCAGCCGCAGCAGCATCAGCACACGGTGTCAAGACTGCGACCCAAGATGGATAGGTTTGAGCGTGCGGCCGAGGAATCATTGTGTGCTCCCACTGCTGCTGCTGGTCGGTGTTCTGAGACTCGGCTAATTATATCGAATCGAGTCAGGCGAAATTGCCATCACCGAGCACTCTTACCATATCCATCTCCCCTGCTCCTTCTCGGACCAGCCATCGCATCAGCAGCAGAAGCAGCAGCAGCACTACTACTACGACCACCATTCCGCCCGTTTGCCTGTCCAAATGTTGCCTTTTCTGGCGCTTTTGTAGTTGCTGTTGCCTCAGTTGCCATTGTTCGAGCCCAAGTGAGTTCAGGCGGTTTCACGGCTACAGTCTGCACATCCTCGCAAACATCGAGAACTACAAAAGGCGTGCGCGTGAACAGGTCGTCTCAAGTTTCTAAGTTGGTAATTGATTAATTGCCCCTTCTGAAGAACTGCTGTTGTTGCCTTTTTCTACCTCTTCTACTCAAATGAGAATGAAGCAATTGAAGAAGGCAGCGCTAAACGACAGTCTTTGTCGTCTAGGCAACACTGCAATTATCAAAGCAACGTCCATTTAGTGCCATTAGGGAGCACACAAGAATAGTGATGCCGTGCACTAAAACAATGCCATTTGCTGAACCATCGCTCAGCCTGTTTTGCAAACAAGCAAGTCAACTCTCAAGGCACACAACCAACTTTCATAAAAGAATCATCAGTCAGAAAGATTCTTTAGCAACAGAGAACAACTCTCTGGGCACAGAGAGAATGAGCACGGACTCGCCATTTGCATCGATCTTCACTCGGCGGCAAGATAAATGATGATGTCATTGAGAAAAAGAGAAAAAACTACATCAGCGGCAGAAGACAAGTTTACTTTGTCGGGCAAGCGATTATTAATACTAATACACGTTTGCCTCAACGATTCGATCGGTGAATGGAAGAATAGTGCACATTTTGGAGCGCTGGCAATTCGCCAGCTAAAGAAGAAATAGAAAATGGGAAAGCACAGCTGAAGAAAATAGAAGTGCTGCCGCTGCCCGAATTGCTAGTGTGCGCTCGTTTGTGCAAATCGGCATTAGAGTGCTGCTGCGGGTAGAGTTATGGCCACATCGATCAGTTTCGGCGATCACAGCACTTTTCAAGCTTAAAGCCTTGAACTAGCTAGCGTGCGTCTCGTCAGGCGCAATTCGGCATTCAATTATGCATGACTAGGATACAGTGTGTGCCTGATGAGACAAAACATTGATAAAACAAGAAAACGACCGCCACTTTTTCCTATTTCGGCTACGATAGAAGTCTTCAGCAACAACGGCAACAGAAGTGAGTGGACGTTGTGTTCATTTTAGTGACTCATTAGGGAAAGGTGACACTGATCAGGCCGGACTGAAAGTAGATGAAAGTGGGCGAGTGCACGTGTAATTTCGATAAACTTCCCCTGATTCAGTGGTGCAGGCGCTTGGCGGATGACGAGCAACAACCGACAGAGTAAGGGAAACAAAGCACAGATGCAGGCACACACAGACAGCACAGACGGCACTTCTCTCTCTCTTTCTCTGTTCGAGTCGCACACAGTTTTCCTCGAAAGACCGACCGTCTATATAACCGGCAGATCAAGTCAGACAGTCGCCTTTGTTCACGACCCTCCCATTTGCTCTATTTACAAAGTGCAAGTATTTTTTGCTCTAACCGTCAAAACTTTGAGTTGCATTTAGGCAAAAACAAATACGTGGTAAACAAATACGTGCTTGCATCAATTAAACAAACAACCTATTTCCCGGCTACTGTGCTGCTGATTAGTCGTAAAAGAATTAAGCATATTGTTTACAAGTTTCAGGGAAATGAGATTGAATCGTAAAGAAAGTTAGTGATCGTAAAACGATCAAAGTTGCAAAGGAAAGTACTTTGTAGCAGAGATAACTTGGCCTATTGACCACTTAAAAGTTCAGTAGGGGAGAAGGTACTTTTACGGCAGTAAACAAACAATAAAGTGAAAAGTCGTNTGCTTGCATCAATTAAACAAACAACCTAGTTCCCGGCTACTGTGCTGCTGGTTAGTCGTAAAAGAATTAAGCAGATTGTTTACAAGTTTCAGGGAAATGAGATTGAATCGTAAAGAACGTTAGTGATCGTAAAACGATCAAAGTTGCAATGGAAAGTACTTTGTAGCAGAGATAACTTGGCCTATTGACCACTTAAAAGTTCAGTAGGGAGAAGGTACTTTTACGGCAATAAACAAACAATAAAGTGAAAAGTCGTAAAACTCACAAAACAATCTGTGCTAATGCGATCTTGGTCGACACACTTTAAGGTAGATATCAACTGTTCATTGTTCTCTATTTACCATCTTCAAACCTGTTTGGTGTGGTGAAACTTGAAGAGGCGGTGAAGATGAATGGTCGACAAGCGATGTTGCGGACGGTGATGATGATGATGATCATTCCACTGGCAGTAAAAGTCAGTCGCTATCACCCGGCGCTACTCATGACATCTGTGAATACGGCTTTGTAACCGGTGACCAGTCTCAAAATGGCCAACTCCACTGAAATGTGCTCCATCTGTGATGGCAGATTCAAAGCATTTTCAGGGTGAGCAGCTCAACTTAGAACTCGGAAGCGACACCGTTTGACCAATCTTTCAAACTCAAATCTACACAAAGTCTGCCCAAACAGCATCACTTTTAATAAACAACATCACAAAGCAATAGTTCTGAGGAAAACTCTTCAACAAACACATGGTTTGAGTTTGAAAATGATTTTATTATTGAATCAAATAGGGAGCTTTCTAACAATAAGTGAAGTTGGTATGAATGAGTGGCACAATAAAAGTGTTGCTGAAGATATAGCTGGAACGACAGTACCAATCACCAGAGTCATTCTGGTAAATTTGCACTGTGACCGGTGTGCGTTACTGTGGCATGCATCTTTGCATTTTGGGCAAGTTCAGTGGTTCGATCGCTTTAGTTAGATTTATTCACTTTACAATGAGCGAGCCTTACATGAGATGAATGATCATGAATGAGATAGAATTCCAATATGACAGGTATGGTAGGAAAAAGAAAAGGGAGAGAGACAACTTAAAGTTTGCATCACTAAGATCAAATGTACAGTGTAACATGGTCACAACAAAACGAGACAAGTAATATAAATACGTGAAAAAGAAGGAGAATCACTACAGAAGAAAAAAAAATTAAATCTCTCAGAAGGTCAAAGCAAAGCAAATCAAAAGTTGAACTGAGTGGTTGGCGACTCGGAGACTGTTTTCATGTAAATGTGTCTGTGACCGAGTCGTACTGTACGTGTCTGCAGGAGTAGGAGATAAGTGGGAGGAGAAGAGTTGAAGTTGAGAAAGAGAGGTGGTGACGGTGAATGCACTTGCCTGCACTGGGGACACCGGGCGGCGGCAGAGAGCCACGCCCGGTGAGCACCAGGTCAGTTCAGCTGTAGCAGTTATGGGCAATATACAATGGATTATGGTGGAAATGCTCTACGTGGTAATGCATGTCATGGTAGGGGTGGGTGTGTCTCGGTGAAGGTGCTGATTATGATGTGGTAGTGTGTAGTGTAGGTGTGATCAAACGACATGAAGTAGTGAGAAAGGAAAAGAAGAGAAGAGAAGATCGTAATAAATAAACGCTCGGGCGCAAGCTATGACTACAGCAAGGTGTGATGGTGTGCAGCAGTGATGCTGGCGCACTACCATGGGTATAAATAATCAATAATCAATAATAATACAGAGAGAGGTGTTTGAAGCATCAAAGAATGACGTAGTGCAGACGAAGGGAAGGAGATGCGTCTGGCGTTGATCGCCGGTCGTCGTGTCATCCTCCCTCACTGTCTGTCTGTTTGTCTGTTTGTGAGTGAATGTGTGTCTGGTGCCACCACAACCAGATGGTCTACTGCTGCTGCTTGAAAGAGCACAAAAGGGGATGCGGATGATGGTGCAATGCCGATTAAGTAAGACAGCTAGTAGTAGTGGATAGGTAGGTAGAAAGGTAGAGAGGAGACCAGAGTTAGTAGAACGATTCGTTTGAGGTGGTGGTGGCAGGTGAAAGAGGATGTGTCCGCAAAGAGGAAACAACGGCGACAACAATTTACTCTCAACGCTTTGTCAAGCGAGTGACTTAAAGACAAAGCAGTTTGAAACTGCTAGGTCTTGTGCCCGACAGCGTGCAGAGCAAAGATGTGTGCCAGTTATTGCCAACTTCCAAAGACAGTCCTCGACACAAGCCAGCGTACATTGCAAATCAATGGTGGTGTTACACAAAAGGAGATACAGGGAAAGAGAGATAGATAGATAGAGGTTTTGATGAAGATATTGCAATTGGGTTACATTTGGTGGGTGGCGGCTAACCGGGAGATGCGACGTGCGAGAGATTGCAGGAGATTGCTGAACAGTGTCAATGCACAGGATCAGTTGTACAGTTCGGGTGGGCATTACGCCTTTGTTTCACTGTGCAAGTGGTGCAGGTGGTGGTCGAGAGGACCGAGCATCTGAGGTAACTGCGGCGGAATGACACTTTGCATCTTGTGCTCCTTCTTCCACTTCATCCTCCGGTTCTGGAACCAGATCTTAATTTGCCTCTCACTCAAACAGAGGGAGTGGGCAATTTCGATTCGACGTCTTCGAGTCAGGTAGCGGTTGAAGTGGAACTCTTTCTCCAGCTCCAGTGTCTGATATCGAGTGTAGGACGTGCGTTGTCGTTTGGTTTCGCCCATCGAGTTGACGCCATCTACAAAAAAGGGAAAACACAGAAAAACAGACAGATTAGAAAGGGCTGTTGATCGCGCCAAGCTGCTCATTCGCTCATTAACTCTGCACAGGTGCTGCCTTTCATTTCTTTTCCTTTTCACTAATTTTGTGCAAACGCTTTCAATTGGCAGTGATTGGAGTGCCGTCAATGGTGTCTTTCAGGCGAAAAGAAAAAATGTCATGTGATCCATTCAGGCGAGCGCACACTACCTGAAGCTGCACACTTTTGGAAACAGTAATTTTTTCGCTTAAATTGGCGCCAGTCAATTGTTTGTGATTATAGGTGCCAGCAGCAATGGCAGCAGCATCAGTGCATCGACACCATTGTGTTTGCCCAACAGAACACACCACCAGTCCGGACCAAGAGGCCGTTATCATGCTCTCCCTGTCTAGGTCGCACTACCTGTACTACTGCTCCAGCGGAAAATACAAGACAGAGAAAGGCAGTTGGGTCGTCCGGCAGTACTACGCTGCTGATGGGTGCGATGTCGCCTGTCATCCGAAAATAGCAAGTATGCAACGTATGTCGGCGTCGGCTGGCCTCGGCACGTTGTCGCACTGCAGAAGCGGCAGCAGCAGCAGCAACTCCTGCTCTTTGACAAGCAGACTAGACGCTGCACGGCGGCAGAGTGTGTCTGAGTTAGGCTGACTGGATGAAGCTAAGCGAAATGCAAAATTGACAGCAGATTCTAGGGAAGGCAGCCTATGCCTGCCTGCCTTCCACCACTGCACTCGGCACTGTTGGCAGTAGTCTCCTGCTTCAACGGCATCACCATCAGCAGCAGCAGCACTCAACGTGAAGCCCTCGCCAGTGGAAATGTGTAAAAATACAAGCTCACAATGAGACAAACAGAGGGCAGCGAAATAGAATGAAAGAAATTTGTACGTCAAAAGTCAAGAATGAATTATGGCACTGCCAATTGGGAGAATGGCATATCAAAGATGAGATGCTGCTGATGATGAAGTGAATAACGAAATGGCGAAATAGCAAAAATGCGAGAAAACCAACACAGTAAGAGGGAAAAGAAAAAGGGAGAGGGAGAGGGAAAGGGAGAGAAAGAAAGAAAGACACAGAGTGAGGCTGACTGCATCGTTCAGTGCCACTTCCAGTGGCAGTGTCGGGCCAAGCGCGCGAGAGCGGCCGAAAGTGGAAATGGCTCGCTGTCAAGATTGGCGTGCCCGGGAAATGTCACTTGGAGGCATATGCGGTGGTGGTGGTGGTGGTGGTGGTGGCAGTGATGCTGCTGCTGGCAAGAAGGCGCAAGCGGGAAGAAGCCAACAAAGGGTCGACACTGGCCAAGAGAAGAAGACGACTAGTGGAAGAGGACGTCTGACTAGCCTCGCCAAAAACTGAGAGGATATCGCCGAGAGCGTTCGATTGACGGGCAGTCAGGCAGCGGCACTCAGCAGCGGCATCAGCATCAGTGGCCACAACTCGAGCAAGTGCCGATGATTGTCCGGGCAATGTGCTTCCAGTGCTGCTCCTGCTGCTGATGCTGATGCCAATCAACAAATTACACCGAACTATGACACATACAGGCAAATAGAAGCATCTCAAACTAGTGCACCCGTTGGAGCTACTAAATGTGCAACTGATTATAAACAATCGGCGTCGGCATCATCATCATCATCGCCTGTGATGATGAGTGGAGTGAACACACAATAAATAGAGCGCCAACAGCATCATTCGTCTCAGGCGCCAACACGAGTCATCGAGTGAGCCAACACCACCACAAACACAATCATCATCCATCGTTCATTGGGGCACACAAATCGAGTGAATCAGTCAAAATATATGCACTTGCGAAAGACTGAGAAAACGGAGTCGGCAGTCGGCCGGAGAAACGTAAACAAAGTGAACGTCACGGGAAGGAAGAAGTCTGGTAGAAAAGCTGAGAGCACTTCGATCGGCAAAATCGAGACGGAAAAACGAGGGGAAATGGCTAAAATTGCAGTGCATCTCAGTGGTCATCGATCGCCCGGCCGGTCACCGGACACAGACGACCACATGTTCCAAGGTGGTTGCCAAAAGGCTGTCCTCAAAAACAGTGCACAAAGGTGGTCGATTCGCGGTGAATGAGTCAGTTCAGTGCTTGCTCAGTGAATGTGAATGAAGCTGAATACGATCTAAAGAAGCGCAAGAGCAATGCTTTTATTAATGGTCAGTGTCATCACCGACTGATGAAAATTAATAGTTGTCTGTGGTCACAACTGAGAAGAGCCAGAAGGCGGTTGTTCTGCCGGTTATATGTCTAGCCGTAGAGCAAACTGGAGCACAAATGGAACGGTGACGCGAGGTGACAGAGAATGGCACAAGAGATGCCCAGTCTTGTCCACTAGGTCCATGTCCGCGGCACAGTGTCTTCTCAGTGCTATCGTGTACCCAGCGGAGCATTGCAATGAAGTAGTGATAGTGATAGTGGCAGTGTCACTGAGCACAATTGCGACACATGGCCCGCTTCGAGCTCACCACTGGACACGCAGCAGCGTGCAGCATTAGAGAAGCGCTCTCGCGCACCGGGACAAGCTTTGTTTGAGGTGCTTCTGCCCTGCGACACTGCCAGTTCGTGTCATAACATGCATGTCTCGACAGGTATTGAGATTAATGTCCCAGTGTCATATCGGCTAATAAATGATACCGCAAACAACAAGCCGACCAGGCGTTTATGTAAATGCTAGTCGAAGGAGTGAGAAACAGCAGACGCAGTGGTCCAGGAGGAAAAGGAGAGCGAGAAAGCACTCGACTGGACATACAGCCACCGGCACTTGCCAGTATTAGCCTTATGGCGGCTATAAAATCATTAAATCGCGTTTTATGGTCTTTCGGTGCTTTGTGCACTCGGGGATAGCACATTGTGAGGGCTCTGTTTGCAAACACAAGTTAGACAGTGCTGCAGCCTGCCAGAGCACATGTGAGTGTGCCTGGCCAGAGGTGAATGGTGGTGGAGAGAAGCAAGGGGGCACAACAATAATTACATCGAAACATGGACAGCTACGAGACACGAAATGCCGACACAGTGAGCTGCTCCAAAGGGCACTCTCTCACGTGTTCATTTTTGTGCAAGCTGCCTGTCTCGTCTACCTCACTGACTAACTCTCTTTTGCTTTGCTCTTTCTTTCTTCCTTCATCTATTATGCTGGTGTCATCGTTATGACTTCGGGGAGGTACGATCAAAATTTACGGCTATTATCTCTCTGCCCAGACGGTCACTGGGCACTGAGAGAGGCAAAAGGCAAAAGCGCGTGTTCCGCCAAGAATCAACTTATTTGTACTCCAAGATGCTGACCGAGCAGTAGTGGTGGTGCTGGGCTCCGTCATTCGAACAGCAAACTGCCGTCCGTGTGTCCACACCTGAAAACTGCTTCATATAATCGTTTTTGCCCGTCTTCACTTCATCTCGAGTTCACATGCACCGAATATGTCAGTGTCTCTATTTTTTCTTTTTGTGTTTGTGTTTCAACTTATCTACACTTGTGGAAACACCATGTTTGTACTCGTCTTGCCTCATCTGATTGCTCCNAGAGCAGTAGTGGTGGTGCTGGGCTCCGTCATTCGAACAGCAAACTGCCGTCCGTGTGTCCACACCTGAAGACTGCTTCATATAATCGTCTTTGCCCGTCTTTACTTCATCTCGAGTTCACATGCACCGAATATGTCAGTGTCTCTATTTTTTCTTTTTGTGTTTGTGTTTCAACTTATCTACACTTGTGGAAACACCATGTTTGTACTCGTCTTGCCTCATCTGATTGCTCCTTCTCTCATTGTAGTCTCGGAAGGTAAGTTAACCTGTTATTATTATTGCTATTGCTATTGCTATTAGCAGAAGTTATATACAGCTACATTCTTCAGCTCAATTATTAGCAGAGGTGTGCAGGCGCTATTATTTGTAGAGGCGAATTGGCATCATCGCCAAGGTGTGCGCGAACAGTGATCTGAGATCTATGAGCAAATGAGCGAATGGCTTTTCGAAAGGCTTACTTTGTCCGACGTGGACCTTGCGCATCCACGGGTAGATATGTGGCGGATTGCTGCTGGAGTTGCTGCCGAAGTTGCCTCCCTTGCTTTGACTGTTCACACTGCCTGCATTTGAGCTTTGTTGTGAGGAGTTTTGATTAGAGTTGCCCTGCACTCGGGGCGAGGAAGACCGCGGCTCGGGTGACTGACCGGCGCCGCCGCTCGAGGTGCTGAGATCCTGGGGCGAGGACGCTGAGTCGATGCCGAATTTGCAACTAGAGACGGGTGAGCTGGAGGTGCGCGACGCCTGCTGCTGTTGCTGCTGCTGCATCAACTGCTGGGCGCTGTGGTGACTGAGTCGGGAGGTGTGATTCTGCGGAGGGGATTACAGAAAAACAAGTGTTAGTCAGAGTTTTGCTTAGAGAAAAAATGTAAACAAGTGTACACTTACGGACAAGCCGGCTAGGCCTGCTGCCTGCTGCGAGCAGCTATTGCTGTTGTAGAGGTCTCGGGGGTGATGCGGCAGGTGGTGAGAACTGTGGTGGTCACCGCCATTCTGCTGCAGGTAGGAGGCGTACGGCGGAGAGGCCGGTGACTGGCCGACGGCCGCTGCCGCTGCTGCCGCCGCCGCGGAGACCACATTGGAGGCCGGATTGGCGCCCGACCAGCTGTTGTAGACCTGCTGCGAGTAGTAGTCGCCCGGCGGACCGGCCAGACTGCCGTCCACGCCAGGGCCAGCTCGGCCCGGCCCGTAGCACGAGCTGAGCGAATTGACGAACTGATAGGAGCTCATTTGCTCGCCACCAGATGGATTCGAAGGGAAGGAATTTGGTGCGATATTCCACGCAATTTTGTCCGCTTCACACTGGTCGACTCACGTTGTTTTGGCAAACAGAAAAACGTCTGCTGAAGGGAAAAGAGCGCCAGAAGAGTGAAAGCGAGAGAGAGAAGAAAGATTTGCGCACTGCTCTCGTTCTGCTGATGTAACTGAAAGATTCCTCTACGATTCCTTCTCCTCTTCAGCGATGCTTCTGCTTCTTTTTTAGCGATTGCGTTAGACGCAGCCACTAGGAGCAGACAGTCACAGACAGACAGACTGCTACTGCTTGAGAGAGTTCATGTGCTGCAGCTCATGTGGCCAAACAAATTCTGGTGTTGCTGATGCTGTGTTTGCACTAGTAAGTTGATGCGCGCGCCAATGTGCTTTTTTCTTTATATTTTCTTGTATTCAGTCTGAGTTGTGCCTTTTTCCCTTTTTTCTGGCCGCAAGAGGAGTGTTGCCAATTTGAAAGCTAATCTTTTCGAGTTGATTTGTAGTGAGAACTAGATTTGAGTAGCTCTCGTGTCAAAACTTGTCTACGTCGCCAGGAGCAGTGATCTAGGCGAGTCTTGATTGGCGATTATCTTAGCACACACACTCATACACACTCTGGCACAAGTGCACTGAAATAGACACGGACACAAGAAGACGTCGAAGATGTAAGTGCCGAGGCGGACAGCTGTTTGCGCTATAGTTGCAACGTGACTCGCGCGTCGGCAGTGTTGGCCAATCGAGGGGCTGCCGTAGTAAACAAAGCGATCAATTCGGCGTTGGCGCCAAATTCAAATTGATCTTCTTCTTCTAGACTGGGCGCCACGGAACTTCGTGCAGTGAATGCTGACGCGAAGAATCGATGCTGATGGTGCTGATGCTGTTGATGGTGCTGACAGAGCTGGTGCACTTGCTGTTGTGCAGTTCGTTGCAAGGTGGTTGCAGTGGTGCAGGTGTGCTGTCGTCAAAGTGCTGGTGCTGCTGGTGATGGCTTAGGTTGGTTGTGGAACTGATGCAAAGACAAGTCTGCGAGGAGTTAAGTTGGCTGCGGAGTGGTTGTCACAAACGTCAAAGTCGCAAAAACAGGTGCTGAGGGTTGTTGTCGGTGCCGGTGACAGTGAAGTGAACCAGACCGGCGTCAGAGTCAGACTGACTGGTCGTCAGTGTGGACTCCTGGTTTTTGCCAAGTGACTCAGATTGTTACCGGACTGCTGGGCTCCGATTCTGTCAAAGTCCGAAGAAGGAACACCGAGCAGAAGAATCCGAGAAGTGAGGCAATGTTTGGTGTCGGTGGTGGCGCGAGCACGAGTGCGGTGTTTGGACCGACAACACGGCGTCAAGTAGGAGCAGAAGGAGCAGCAGAAGAAGTGGCAGAAGAAGTGGCAAGGAAAGAAGTGGCGATGCAACTTGCGCCTGCCAGGACTTGTCAGGAATGGTCGATGCTGATGAATGAGGACTTCGCCTCGTGCCTTCCTTGTTTTATCATATCACTCTATCTCTATCTGCCTTTCGCATCTCTTCTCAGTACACATGCGGCGTGTGCGCATCGACTGCGCGCGCATTGGCTGCATTGAAGAGTGCTTCCTTCAGTGAGAGAGAGTGAAAGAGTAGAAGAGTAGTCGCTGGAAGTGGTAGCGATAGCGGTGATGGTGCTGGTGGTGGTGGTACGCCAGACAGAGAGTCCGACAGGCGAACAGGCTCACACTCACGTACATGCGTTGTGTAATCGAGTTGGCTCGTGATGCCTTCCTTGCAGTGCACTGCTACCAGCGAGTCAGCACTGCTAGAGGCCCCTCGGACCACATCACTTCGGAGGACTACGACCACAGTGGACACCACCACCACTGAGGACGACTCCGCCCGTCGCCGACTTCTCGACCTGCCTGCTTGTTCCCCTCGCTGCACCTCCACCACGCAAACTGGCTCTCTCTCACTCGGTGGCTCTTCCAAGCACTGTCTGTGTTGCCACACTGCCACTCTCATTCCCGCCCATTCCTGCTGACTCGCGGGAAGTAGCTCTTGCTGGGTGAGTAAGAGAGAGAAAGAGAGAGAAATCCATCGACTGCTCTTTGCTGGAAACAAGTTAGGGTGAGGGGAAAAGGAGATGGAGATCCAAGAGCAATCCACGGCGTTGCTAGACGTTCAATGGAAAGAAGGCAGCCGACGGTTTTTGCTTGTGGTTCAACTGCCACCATCTCATCTCCTCTCTGTTTTCGGACCGTCAATTCAACCGAAACCAAAACCAACAGCCACCAGTCTGCGCCAACTAAAATTTGGACACCAACTAAAACTGATCTCGATGTGTGTCTGTGTGCTGACGATCACTGTTACCTTGAAAATTATTGTTAGTTGTCCAGTGAGGATTTTAAACAGAAGGCAACAGATTCTCTCTCTGTTTTAGCTAGCCACTGCTAAGAATGAATTCAGCCCCCTGTAGATGCCGCGCGACTGGTACTGACTGGCTTACAAAAAAGTGACATCACATATTCTCTTGCAAAGATTAATTACCAAACAATGCAAATGATTCCACTGGCTCTGCTCTTGGCAATGGCCAACTTTGGCGGCAGAATCGGCCACTGCCAGACAAGTCTGCATTGTCTTGTGCTTGGAAAAATGAAAGAGAGAGAGAGAACAGACACTCTTCAAACTGTGCACCACGACACGATTCGGTGATGGTGTGCAGACGGCTATCCACCAAAATGGACACTTGCCTGCCTCATGGCAGTGGCGTAATGGCCGAATGAAAGCTGAGAAATTGAAATTGAATTGAGCCAGGCAGCAGCGAGAAGAGTCGCCAGCACCGGACACACATGCACACGCACTGTCAGAGAAGCTACCTTAATGGTGCGACTGTGAATTAAAATCTCATCCCAGAGTAAAGCACTTTACTACGACTGCTGCCGCCGCCGTTCAATGCCACTGCAATGGCGTAGTGCAGCAGAACTAAAGTTACAGCGGCTTTGGTGCTTGTCACTTCGCAAAAAGATCATTAATGTGGCGCCACACAAAGGCTGGTGAGGAAGAAAGAGCTGTAGCGTGAAGTGATTTTGCCATCCAACTCTACTGAGCCAGTGTCTGCTCACTTCCCTTTACCTCGTCAGTCAGTGAGTCAGTCAGTCAGACTCGGTCAAGTCGAACCAAAGTATTTTTCAATTGAGGCTTCTACCGTGGCTTGTATCAACCTGCCAATCGGCTAAATTCAGTCATTGCGTCCAATCATGAGGTCTTGAGGCAGTCATCGAGTATTGCAAACATTTGCCGACTGCATCACCAGCGGCAGCATCAACTGCATCAGCATCAGCATCACAACAACACAGGACGGCACTAATGAACGATGAATTGAATTCGATCAACGCTACTACTGTTGGCACTTGACATATTTGCACTCACTGTCAGCAGCAGTATTTCTAACTGGCGCCCTTTTTCTGCAAGAAGAGAGATCGCGCCGGGCGGATGGCGAGCCATTTAATCCAATCTGGCCACCAATTAGTGTTGATGTCTTTCTTTGTATCCAGCGAGGACAATAATAGCTGCAAATGGAAAGAGAGGGAGATGCACTGCTCTGCCAGCAGACACTTTTACTACTCTTTCTGGCCTCTCCTTTCACAACGAACGGCGACTTTCCACGAGTAGGCACTGCAGCGAGTGAGGAACCAGCACCGAATACAGTCTCGAGACGTCGAATGTCACTGCCAGGCCATTACTCATCCACTGAGCCATCCTCGCCGGTTAGCGGGTTGGCTGCAAAACTTGCGCATTGAGCTGATTGAGACCGAGACCAGCAGAATGAGAGAAAAAGTGAATGGAAGAGCTCTACGGTGAGTGCCCCTATTCGTGTGAGCACTCGGTGCAGAGTGTGTCTGAAAGTTGCTGTTTCTGTTGTGTCGGTGTCCGTTGCCCCAATAACTGCCTCACTGAAAGTGATAGTGATGATGGCCATGACCAGAGCAAAAGCGATTACCGTTGTTGCCTCGGCGGACAGAGACTCAACTCAGCAGCCAAAGGTTTCACCACAGTGGTCGACCGTCTTGTTGGCACTGCACTATTCCCCCCTCTCTCTCTCTCACTCTTCATACTGTCCTGGTTCAGTACTGTCTGCCGGCTGTGTAGACCACTGTCTCTTTTTGGTTTCCTTCAGTCTTTTGCTCCTCTCACCACTGGACACTTTCTGGTCAGCACCAGCAAGCACCGCTGCTCAGCCAGTGATCACAATGGCAACAGCGGCAGACTGAACTGTCCTCCACTGGACCTGTCTGCTGGAGCGAGTGGAAGTGAGAGAGTATGGAAGGGGCTGCTGCATCTAAGGCCGGCGTCCCATCTCCACTGGCCCACTGCCCACCACAAGCGGTCATTTATCACCGGCGACCACGTGCGTTCTATCTCACTGCCTATCTTCCTTATCGTCACTGGCCGCGCGTTCCTTTCATTCGCACTGTCCATTCAGCGAACATTGAAGCCATCACCGATGCAGGCAGCGTATTATCTGCGCACCAGTGCTTGCTCTAATTGTGCCGCTCTCCTGATTGGCTCGATGCCCCCATCAGCGAAGGCATCACACTTGCACGCACAACAAACACCCAAACCAAGGTGGAACTGTCGAGGTGACAACTGCTGCTGCAGCAGCAGCCGTTGCCTCAAACACCCAATGAACAACAGCATCAACAGCAGCAGTTGTTGTTGTCTGCTTGGAGCACTCTGGTCTCTTGGCCCCAGTCTCTCTTTTGTTGCTTTTGAGGCCACTACTTCTAAGCGGCAAACAATGCAACATCTGAGTTTCATTTTTGATATAAAAGCTCCAAAACAGAGTTTGAATCGCAAGCCCGAGGACAACTGCTGAAGCAGCAACAGCAAAAGTTGCCCTCTTGCCATAGAGTGTTTATCGCCACCAATCGGTGGTGGACAGCATGGCATATTGAGGGAAAAAACGTCATTCTGCTGTTCTGCAACCAAAAAAAGAGCACGGGAGCAAGGAATTAAAAATG